TGTGTGTGAGTGTGTGTCTCTCTGTGTGTGTGTGTGTGTGGGTGGGTGCCCCTGTGTGTGTGTGTGAGTGTGTGTCTCTCTGTGTGTGTGTGTGTGTGGGTGGGTGCCCCTGTGTGTGTGTGTGAGTGTGTGTCTCTCTGTGTGTGTGTGTGTGTGGGTGGGTGCCCCTGTGTGTGTGTGTGAGTGTGTGTCTCTCTGTGTGTGTGTGTGTGTGGGTGGGTGCCCCTGTGTGTGTGTGTGAGTGTGTGTCTCTCTGTGTGTGTGTGTGTGTGGGTGGGTGCCCCTGTGTGTGTGTGTGAGTGTGTGTCTCTCTGTGTGTGTGTGTGTGTGGGTGGGTGCCCCTGTGTGTGTGTGTGAGTGTGTGTCTCTCTGTGTGTGTGTGTGTGTGGGTGGGTGCCCCTGTGTGTGTGTGTGAGTGTGTGTCTCTCTGTGTGTGTGTGTGTGTGGGTGGGTGCCCCTGTGTGTGTGTGTGAGTGTGTGTCTCTCTGTGTGTGTGTGTGTGTGGGTGGGTGCCCCTGTGTGTGTGTGTGAGTGTGTGTCTCTCTGTGTGTGTGTGTGTGTGGGTGGGTGCCCCTGTGTGTGTGTGTGAGTGTGTGTCTCTCTGTGTGTGTGTGTGTGTGGGTGGGTGCCCCTGTGTGTGTGTGTGAGTGTGTGTCTCTCTGTGTGTGTGTGTGTGTGGGTGGGTGCCCCTGTGTGTGTGTGTGAGTGTGTGTCTCTCTGTGTGTGTGTGTGTGTGGGTGGGTGCCCCTGTGTGTGTGTGTGAGTGTGTGTCTCTCTGTGTGTGTGTGTGTGTGGGTGGGTGCCCCTGTGTGTGTGTGTGAGTGTGTGTGTGTGTGTGTGTGCGCATCCCCAGCGCAGGTCCCAGCCCTGTCGTGCACCGCCGCCCCCCATCCCCGCGGCTCCTCTCACCACTGCCCCCCAGCCCCGGGCTGAGCCCCCCACTCTTCTCCCCACAGTGCTGAGACCCGGGTGCAGTTCCTGGGTCCCGGAGCCGCAGACGGCTGGAGTGGGTAACGTCACCGCCGGCGCCCGGGCGTGGGGCTGTCCCCGAGCCGTCCTGCTTCGCAAGGCCTCCGGTGCTGCGCTCTTCCCCTGGCAGCGCCCGTGGGGTGTGGGGCAGCCCCGGGGTGCAGGGTGTCGCATCTTCCAGCGCCGAGGGGTTCGTTTCTCTTGGGCTTCTGCTGGTGTCGGTGTCGCTCGGTCGCCGTGCGGGGTCCCTCGAGTGCCCAGAGCGAGCAGGGTCTCATCCCGTGTCTTCCCTGCAGGATCTCGCAGCCAGAGCCCTGCTCGGGCAGCAACCAAGGTCCCCCTGCGCGTCCCCGGCCCCCACAGTGGCGTCAGGCCACGGAGCTGCAGGTCATGCATGGCAGCAAGGTGAGGATGAGGGTGCTGGGGGCAGCGGGTGCCGATTGAGAGCATCCCACGTGTGGGATCCCACTCCTTGGCACCCGGAGCAGCCTGGCACAGCCACTTGGCACGACTGCTGCTCGCTGGGATTGTTGCCCATCCCAGCCAGGGCTGGGCCCCAGAGCTGTGCACTGAGAGGGGGGTTTCTGTCTCTGCCTGGCGGGAGGGGGGTCTCCGCATGCTGCATGGCTTGTCCCCCCTCTCCCTCTCTCCGCAGCCGGCTGCCCTCGGCTCAGCCCGGCCTGATCCGCCCTCCCGGCCTCTCCCGCCGGACCCTGTGCCCAAGGTAATGCCCAGGTGGGGGGGCGGTCCCTCAGCCCACCCGGGACCCGCTGCATGTCTGGCTGCGCTCCAGCTCTTGGGGACTTCTGTGACACGGGTGTCCCCAGCACCCCCTGTCCCCCTGCCGTGTCACTGTCCCTCTCTCTCTGCCCAGGCCCCCCCCTCGGACAGGCCACCCCCCCCCACACGCCCGCTGCCTGCGGACCCTGTGCTGCTGAGCGCTCAGGTAACGGCAGCAGCACCCGCGTGTGGGGCAGGAGGCCAATCCCCACCCCCCGATCCCACCGGGGGTCAGCCCATGGCCGAGCCTTGACACCCCCGTGCCCTTGCAGCCCCCAGGTCCGGCCAAGCCTCCCCCACCGCAGCGGCCGCTGCCCTCGGACCCCCCGGGCCCTTCGCTGGCCCGCAGCGAGACCCCCCCTGGGCACCCCTATGTCACCGTGATTCCTGCCAGGTGAGCACAGCCTGGGGGTCCCGTCCCCACGGGACAGGGCTGCGAGCTCCAAGGGGGGTTGTGGGAGCTCAGGGGGCGATGTGGGGTGCCACGATGGGGGCCTGCAGAGGCCAGAGGGGAGCGTGCGTGGGGGAGAGAGGGGAGCCAGGAGAAATGAGGGGCCAGAACAGGGCGGGAGAGGAGAAAGGAGGGAGTGGTCAGGGTGGAGATCCAGAGCAGGGGACGGGGGGAGCTGCAGGGGGAAGTTGTGCGGACCCCACCCTCACCCCATCGGCTCCCCTTCTCTTCACAGGCCCGCGCCGGCCCCGCCGGAGGCCTGAGCCGCGGGCAGGGAATGCGCAGCGCTGGATCCGCGGGGAAGGCCGAACCCCGCCGGGTCCCGCCGCCCGCTTTTTCTCCCGCCACGTCAATAAAGGGGCTGTGAGCCGCCTCTGCGCTGCCTCCGCCGCACCGGGACCGGCACCGGGGGGAGCGGGGCAGAACTACATCTCCCGGCAGGCCCCGCGCCGGAAGGGGCTCCCGAGCGTTACCGCCCCCTGGCGGGGACTGCGCGCAGCTGCGGGGGGCGGGGTCCGGGGGACACGTGGGCAGGGGGCGGGGCGAGGGGACACGGGCGACACGCGCGTGGGCACGTGCGTGTGCAAGAGTGGCTCTGTGGGCACGTGCGTGTGCAAGAGCGGCTTTATGGGCACGTGCGCGTGCAAAAGCGGCTTTGTGGGCCCACAGGTGTGCAAGAGCTGCTTTATAGGCATGTACGTGTGCAAGAGCTGCTTTATGGGAATGTGTGTGTGCAAGAGGTGCTCTGTGGGCACACAGGTGTGCAAGAACTGCTCTGGCACACAGGTGTGCAAGACCTGCTCTGTGGGCACGTGTGTGTGCAAGAGCAGCTGTGTGAGCATGTGCGTGTGCAAGAGCTGCTCTGCTGGCACACAGGTGTGCAAGAGGTGCTCTGGGCATGTGCGTGTGCAGGAGTTGCTTTATGGGCACACAGTTGTGGAAGAGCTGCTCTGTGGGCACACAGGTGTGCAAGAGGTGCTTTGTGGGCACGTGTGTGTGTGCAAGAGCTGCACTGTGAGTTTTTGCAGCATGTGTGAGGCAGGGCGGGGACACACACGGGCAGGAGCTGCCACACAGGGGCACACGCGTGTGCAAGAGCTGCACCCTGGGCAGTAACACACAAGCAGGGACTCCTCTGTGTTCACAGACACACACACGTGGACGGGGGCTTCCACAAACTTGCACACATGCACGTGCAAGAGCTGCTCAGTCTGTGTGGGTATGCGTGTGTGTAAGATCTGCTTTATGGACACAGGTGTGTGTGTGAGTGTGACTCTAGCTGTGACTGGGGGTGTGTGTGTGTAAGAGCTGCCTGGGGGACGGAGAAGTGTAAGTGTGCAAAAGTCACACAAAGTGCGCACGGACACACAAGTGACGAGGGGCTGCCACAAACACACACACAGCACAGGAGCTGTGCTCTGGGCAGGAACACATGTGTGCAAGCCGCATGCTAGACCACAGGTACGTGTGTGTGCAAGAGCTGCCCTGTGTGCTCATCACATGCGTGTGCAAGAGCTGCTCTGAGGGCAGGGAGCCCCACCTGAGCAGGAGCAGCCTCACACACGGCCACAGGTGTGCAAGAGCTGCTCTGTGTGTGTAGGAGCACACGTGAGCATGAGCTGTCACACACTTGGGCACACAAGTGTGCAAGAGCTGCCTGGTGGACAGGGATGTGAATGTGTGCAGGGGCTGCTCTGTGAGCAGGGACACATGTGAAAAGGGGTGGCCGTGCACACGGACACACACGTGTGCAAAGTTTACACGCAGTGCCTGGTGGGCAGGGACACACCTGGGCAGCAGCTGCCACCAACACGGGCACACGCGTGTGCAAGAGCCGCTCGTGGCCACAGACAGGAGCTGCGTGGTGGCCTCGGGCACACGCGTGTGTGAGAGCTGCCCCGTGTGCACGGGCCCCGCGTGCCCAGCCGATACCGGTACCGGTGCCGGTACCGATGGATGCTGCTGGAGCCGGCTGCGGGGGACAACCGGTGCCGCTGGTGCCGGTACTGGGGCGGTGCCGGGCTGGGTGGGGTTTAGCGGGGAGCTGGATTGGGCCGGAGCTGCCGGTGCCAGGGGCGGTGCCGATGGATGCCAGAAGTGTTGGTCGGTGCCGGTACCAGGGATGCTGTTGCCGGGGATGCAGATCCACTGCCCGGACACTGCTGGTCCCGGTGCCGGTACATATTCACAGTACCGCGTCCGTGTCGGACTGGGAGAGGTACCGGGGAGTTGCCAGGGATACGGGTCCCGGTGGATGTTGGCGGTACCAGGGGGTGCTGGACCGGGGCGTGGCTGCTGGTGCCGGTGCCGCTGGATACTGGCGGTACCGGCCGGTGGCGCCTTACCGGTCTCGGTGCCGGTGCCGGTGCCGGTGCCGGTGCCGGTGCCGGTGCCGGTGCCGGTGGGTGCCGGTGCCGCCCGCCAAGGGTTAATGGCAGTCGGTGAAGTTGCCGGGCGGCGGCGCGGCGGG